ACGCTACTGGAGCAGAACCTGCAGCTACGAGCTGCGTCCGCTCCGCCTGCGAGAAGGAGCGCTAGGCTACCAACCAACCAACCAACCAACCAAACAAACAAACACGCATATGCTTCTGTGGATCTCCCTAGCCCTGTGCTTTTTGAGGGGGCTCGCAGAGATCCAGGTTGGCGGTCAGGGCAGAAAACCGTGGTGGAATAAAGTAGGGAAGCCCAGTGTTCTGTTCTCCTTAACTTGTTCTTGTCCTTGTTCATGTTTTTAAGCCCCTGTTCGTTGGAGGCGCCTCTTGACCGATTCGAGCTCGTCTTTGGTAAGGGGATTTATCCTCAAGAACTCCGTCTCGAGGTAGGTAACGTAGGGGTCGATGCGGCCCACTCTTGGCGAGACGACCAGACTGTCCATTGAGGGGTGGCCCGGGAGGATCGGAGTGTCCTCCGGGTAGAAATTTCGCAGAACACGGGAGGCGATCTGGCCCATAACAATGAAGTTGGCTGGGATGCCAAAGAACAAGGAAAGGGTAGTCCAGAGGAGTGAGGACGAGGAGTCGTGAGGTTCGATGAGGCCCGCGGTGGTGTAGTTACCGACCGCGAATAAAAGAGCATCAACGAAGGAGTTATAACCTTCGAACTTGAAGCCTATGATGACGCCCACGACGACCATGGAGACATACATGTAGCAGGCCATCTTGAAGACGGTGTCAGCGCCCGCATTCGTAGTGCGGCCGATGCGGTAGAAGATGTGGTTGAAGAATACGGAAAGGGAACCAACGACGAGCGAGGACCCAGCGACGATGTAGAAAACCGTGAACCACTTCGTGAAGATGTCACGGATATGGTAGTTGCCATAACCAACACCGAGGCCCACGTTCGTTGCATAGAAAAACGCGTAGCTACAGTGGGAGGGGTGAGGCGGATGCAACGGACACACCCCCGTGCTTATAACGGACCGAAGTGACGCGGCCGTGCGGCGGGACATGAGCGTGAAATCTTCATCGCAGACTGCGTAGAAAGTTGTACCAACGCCAAAGTAGCAGACAATTAGAATGCAGAGGTCGAAGATAGGGCGCTCCGTCCGTGCATGAAGGTCCTCGCGATACTGGACCAGCTTGGGAATCTGTGCCAGGTCCGACAGTCCGTGGAGGAGATTTATCATGGACGACTGCGATCCAGGTTTATCTGTGTCAGGAAGAACTTCTCTATCCCGAAGCAGGGGCACTGCGTCCGCAGACTCCGCGTTGCTCATCATCAGTGCACTAACGCGCCTGAGCAAATTGTGTCCTTACGGCTGTACACATGACACCGTGCGCGTGGCGCCGGTCGAGTGGAGCTGAAATTGCATTTACGGCCACTTGTTACGGTAGTACAATATGTTTCCGTCCACTTGGCCTTTCGTATCTCCCACTAGCCTGAGCTAAAGGAAGCAAAGTAAAATCCTCCCTCAAGGGGAGGGTGAGCTCAGTTTCAATAAAAGATGCCAGAATGAAGGCCGACGGACCGCGCTTGGATGGCGCAGCCACCTCAGCGGGGATGGAGGAGGGCAGGGCAGGGCGGGTGCTTCATTTGTGCCGAAGGAGGGCGGTGGGCGTGCCAAAAAATATAAGCCGCACCACCCCGGACCCCGGGGAAGCGGCGAGCTGGGAGAGGACCACCACAACCAGCAGTTTTATTTAGCTGGATGATGATAGGCGGTCTAAACTCACTAACCCGCTACCGGAAACATAGTATTGTACTGGGCGACACTCGCACTACACGCACGAAGCGCACACGCGAATTTACGAACAAACCCCGCGAGGAACAAAGCCCCCAACGTCGAGCATGGCCGAGACAAGAGGAGCCTGGTAAGCTCAGCGCGGCCCGTGAGATTAACTCGTCGACCCAGGGGTGTTACAAAAGCAAACGCCTTGGTTCGAAAACTTTTTAAATCTGGCTCAGCACCGGTTACCTCAGCAACCTAACTTCAGCTGTCGATTTCGTCTCTGGCCTCTCTGCGGTCGCCCTGCGACTGAATTAGGTTCAAACTTCCCCGCGTGTGTGATGACGACGACGACGGCGGCGGCGGCGGCGACGGCGGCGGCAGCGGCGGCGGCGGCGGCGGCGGCGACGACCGACCGACCGACCGACCCAGAAAATAAGTGCCAGGAGCTCCCTGGGGGCCTAGGGGTCGCCCGACGCCTCCCCAAGTACGCCCCCATCGGACCCGGTCGAATTTCACAAACCCAGACCCCCATGCTCGATTTCACTCACTGAGCCGCGCATTCTTTACGATACAAGTGGGCTTGTGGGTAGGCGCATGACCGAAGAGAAGTGGGTTAGTATCGGTGGGGATAAGTATCGGTGAAGACACCTTGCTGGCGATATGGCAGAAGCTGTAGATGGCCTGAACAATGGGTTTTTCAAGTCCCGAAACGCCTCGTCATGGGTTGTCACGAAATACCCGTAACGCACCGAACCACGCGCGCTACTGCGCCCGCCACCGCACGCCAACAGCATATTGGGGCGTTCGATCGGCGTAGCCGGTCTTGCACCGGCAAGATGAAGCGCGTAAAACAAGCGGGGTGTCGCGCTTAAGGTGAAAGTCCGGCATTGTTCCGACTGGTTCTATTTTGGTTGAGAGGCAGGTCGCTTAGTTACGCGCTGTACGACCCGGATGCCACTAGTACAGGGGTTCTGAGCTGTCTCGTTGAGGTTCGACACTCTTTTCCAAAGTAAGTCACGGCGATCGCTCCACACTGAGTACCAGGCTACGAAGACTCGCCTTGTATTTGGAACGAAGTGTGGTCGCACCTCACCGCAACAGGGCATCTTTTCGCTCGCGGGCCGCAGCACCCTGCAAGTTCCTCAGCACAGCCAGCTCCTCGTGCTTGAATTCGCTAGAAGCCGTCGCTGCAGTGTTGGAATTTGCATAACATCCGAGGGCCTGTGCTCTTTGAGAGTCGGAAAGAATTGCGCTCGAGACCCGTTAGGCGTTCCTCTGTCCTGTAGTCTGGCCGCTGTTCCGATGAGCGAACGATCGTCTCTCTCTCTGAGCGTTCGAAGTACTAAGGACGCTTCGACGAGGGACAAGGACATTTTCCTTGTCCCAATCCAAGTCAATTCAAGTTTGATCGAATCGCGTTGTCGCTGTGCTAACGCGGCTGCAAGCCGTTTCGAGGCGCCGTCGTTTCCCCGCAGGCGAGAACTCATTCCGGCTGATCCGACGTGCTCGGGGAGCATTTTGTCGCTGATGGCGGCCGATATCGTCTGCACGTCGAATTGCTGCTTCGATGTCGGCTCGCTCGTGCGCGCGGCGAGTTGATGTTGCTGCGTCTTCGTCATCAACTCTCTGAGAATCGGAGAGATCTGGCGCCTCATCGCGGTCTTTCCTGGCCTTATCGGCGATGGCGCGCTGAACCCGCTCCCACGCGTCGGGGGCGAGAAGTCTGACGTCTCTGAACAGGTCGCAGAACGTCTCGTCGACGGCGGCAAGCGTCGCTTCGATATCAGAGGCGAAGACAAGGGTCGCACTTTTGCCGCTCTCACCACGGTCGATGGCGACGAGGGAACCAAGCGGAGCGCACGCGTCGCGCAAACTATCATCCGTCCAGCCGGTAGCTCGAGCGCCCCACCGGACCTTGACCGACCGGTGCAGACGAAAGAGCCGTATATCCCTGTCGAGCTCGGATCCTGTATCGCGCGCCGCTCGGCGCTGCTTAGCCGCTGTGCGCACAGCCTCGGACAGCGCATCAGCGCGCGAAGCGTTCGCTGCACGTGCCAATGCCTCTGCGCCATCGACAACATCTCGGCGCATATCGGATGGAGCCGCCAGCCCCCCGCCTCCGCCTCCGAGTCCGCCGCGCGCCACCGCCTCACGCCGTTCGAGCTCATCGCGAAATTTTCTACGCGTTGATCCCATGGCAGCTATTCGCTGCTGGTGAGCGCGCTGCGCCTTCTCCACGCAAAAGACCGCGCTATCTAGCGCCTCGCGCATCGAAACGTTGCCGAGCATCTCGTAGGCCTCCTTTACTTTGAGGAACATCGACGCCGCCACCTCCTGTTCTCCGGCGGTCTTGCCGCGCTGCTTGTCCGGGTGGTATTGTAGACTCGCCCTCTTGTACGCCTTCTTCACGGCCGCCTCTCCACATCCCACACCGAGTCCAAGCAACGCGTAGACCTTCCGCGCAAACTTCGCTTTCTCAGCAGAGTCGAGAGCCGCAAACTCCATGCGCTCCCACTCGGCGCCGGTCTACCGGGGTAGATCTAACTACACCGCTTTTTATCTGCGGGGAGCGCTGCTTGCAGATAAAAAGCCGCCCTGTACGGGGAGGGTAGCAAAGTTCCAGCGAAGTGTTTTGGAGCACAAAGTGTAAGTGTTTAGGGGGGAGAGGCAAGTGTTGGCAAGTGTTTCAACGGCCAAAAAAAAGCGAAAAAATGAGAATTACCACCAAATATCGAACCAGCAACGGTTCCGTCGCGCTGACGGAAGTGTCTACGAGTGTTTCGTGAGATCTAGTTAGTGTTTGTAACACTTAGTTACAGCTTTGCTACCCACCCCGGCCCTGTAGTTTTAAGAATACAGGACAGTTGAAGGGCGAGTCTAATTTTGGACTACATGTAGGGGAATCGGCCGTTTCGGCGGTGGTAGCGGGCGCCATCGCTGTCGGTCCCGACTTTATGGTCCAAAACTGGATCCTGGGGTGCGATGGCGCGCCGGTGCCTCCGCGTGTCCGTCCGTGGTGCGGGGCGGTTCCGTTCGCGTCGGCGGTCGACCAGGACCGTGGCGACGTGCGCCCGCAGACGCGCCCGTGGTCGCGCTTCCGTTCAGCGTCTGCCCGTCGTATCGGCTCGTCGGGGTCGAGTCGGCGGGTCCGAATTGAGGCCTGCGCTGTGGTTTGAGCGCTTTGTCGCGGTTCTCGGGTCATGCTTGGAGCCTCAGTGCCGTGGTCGGCGCCCGTGGCCGTCTCGATGGACTATCGCATGGCGTGCTCGCCGCCGCGCGGTGGTCCGTCGAGGTTATCGGACCAAATCGTGTCGCGGGGCTCCGTGCCACGTCGCCGAGAGCATCAAAGCGCTTTACGATCGCATCTGGCCCTCGCCGTGTCCAAAAGAAGAAAACCGGCAGCCAGGACCACCGGAGACGCGCCGCGTCGACAGCTGCAGCTCTCGTCAGCGCAGGCGTAGCGTACCGTCGGTTCTCGCATAAGCGCTGCTGTGCGCGTTGACCTGCGCCGACGGAGCATCGCGCAGAGAGTGCCTAACGACTACCACGGCCTCGAAGCGCCCAAATCGGTGCGGAAAAGGCTGCGTACGCCGCACCATAGCCTCCAGTCCAAAACCTAGACTTAGTCCAAAACTAGACTATGAATTCATAACCCTTCATAATCGTACAGGTAATCTTCGATTAGCCAGGAAAGTAGCGCCAAAGGAGAGAGAGAAAATGAGATGTTATTTATTATTGCAGCTCAGTCGATACTCGCTCCTTATGCTCTTATCTGGCCGGCGCTGCTGAAGCAGCCCGCCGGCGAAATTCTTTCTGAAAAGGGGGGCATAGTGTAGGTCCGAGCGGCGGCGGCCATGGTTGTGTCCAACCCAGTCCCGACGGAGCTGCAGGGGCGCCCGTTCGTTGAACAGGCGCGAGCCCTACCAGCGCGGGTCGCGCTGGAGGCGTTTTTCGCGGCAGCCGCGGGTTTCACGGATGACTCACCCGCCCGCGGCGCCTTCCCATGGGTGCTGGAAAGGGTAGCCTCAGAGATTTTTCGCGGGGACACTAAATTACAAGTGCACGGGCTTTCGCCTTATTGGGCTCGATCGTAGACGGATTGTCCGCCGAGTGGCATCTAGCTAGCATGGTATGTCAGTGGGCCAAGCAGGATCAGACTTTTTGCATCGGTCACCTGGACGGGATAGACGTAGCAGCTAAGGATAAGCGAGCAGTCATGGGCCTCAAGGACCATGCATGGGTCATAACGACATTTCTGGAGGAAGTGCTCGACAAACGGGCTGGCTCCAATCAACCCGCACTAGACCCGCGCGCGCGCGCGCGCGCACGGCAAATTTTCAGGAGGTGTAGTACACGTCCCTCCGGCCGCTGGCCGGATTTAATTAACAAATATTACTGTCTTATTTCGTACGGGCCGGCCTAGTCGTCGGTTGTTTTGCGCACCGGGCCGGGGTACTCGCTATTCATCGCTGCGCGAGTGTCAGAGGATTGTAAGGCTCCTCAGCTAAATACTAGATAGATATTACTAGTACTGTCCGCTCTCGCCTAGTAGCCGACCTACCCTAGCCAGGCTCCCCTCCCTTGTGAGGCAGGTCATCCCGGACACCGTTTCCCATGTACGGGACTTATATTCTTTGCAGTTTACCCGGCCTATATCTAAACTCATAATTACCCTTGCGACGCTGCCGCTTTGTATGCCACTGGATGGGTCCGTTTAAAATCCCGGCGTGAGGAGTTCGGCGGTGGACTGCTGGTTGCTGTACATGCAATTCGATGGAAAATGAGCCTATACGTCGTGCGTTATACCAAGGGCGCAAATGTTAGGAGAGAAGCTGACATGAGGTCAGCACTGGTGATGAAACTCGCAAAGGGTACTGCTGTTAAGGTGCTGAGTGAAGCCGAGGTCCCTGGGGGCGACGGCAAGCTCATTGTGCGAGCGCGGTTGGGCGAACCGTGCGCTGGATGGGTGAGTCTGAAGACACTGGGGAAAACGCTGGATGTCAGATTAAAGCTTGCGAAACTCGAAGCGAAAATTGAAGACACAAAAAGATCGTTTCAAGTAGATATTGTGTCACCAAGATCAGATCTCGCCTCCCGCGCTACTATTCTCGTCGAGAATTCTCTCGGGCTTCGTACATTCCAGCCCCTCGACAAGGAGGGAGAACGAGTAAAAGATCACCTCGTATTTCACGAATTCAACTCACCCAGGTCTGCGAGCTCCCGAGCGCCTCGAGACATCTNTCGAATGCAAGGTAATGCCCTCGTAATGCACAGCGAGGCAATCGGG